CTCTCTCTCTCTCTCTTTCTCTCTCTCTCTCTCTCTCTGAGATTTATACGTCTCTTAGTCTCGCTTTTACGATTGATTCACTTCTTGATTCTCCGATTCGGCATTGGCAGGCTCGAACAAAACCATCAATCCCGACAACGATATCGAATGCTACGTTAATCCGATCCGCCGACACTTCCGGCTAATTTCGTCGCGCTGCTGCCCTGCGCCGATCGGCGTTGAATTTCCTGATCGGAAATTCTCTCGGTCCCGCGGTTGAAACGATGCCGTGCCGACGAACGCGTGCGTGCACGCCCCACGCGCCTGGTCCATAAAAGTGCCACTCAGCGGATGTAAATAATTACCGCACAATCGATCACTGCTTCAATTACTTTGTGTCCACGTCCGATTTTAGGACGGACGATTCTCGATAAAGCGTCCCGCCCTAAATCTTCTCACCAATTGCTTCGTTCACAAAGCGCACATTAGACGAAAAAGAATGTTTAAATTAAAAATCAAGATCTTGCGCGAATATGACTAATTAATTGATCCAACAGTTCAGCTGTTTGTTATACGAACACGATCGACCTTCACGACGCGCCGCGGAGATAACCTGTGGATTCCGGCAAAGAAACGATTGACGATCGAATGATGAGCCGGGCGCGATCACCGAATGTCAAATTGTCTGTCAACGTTTCTCGGAGCGACGGCAAATCTCAATGTGGACCAGGATCGACTGACGTCGACGGATGGCATCACATCGCCGTTGCCGTCGTCGCCGTCGTCATCATCGTCGCTTATCTTGATCTCGGCCAGGCAACACTTTCGAGCCACGTCGTGAAGCGTACGGCGAGCGACTGGCTGTCTGCTCGAATTTCCACACCACCTCGAATCCCGAATGCTAAAGCGCGCGCGCGCGCGCGCGCTCAAGAGGGGTTGGTGAGCGAGAGAGGGTGTAAGTAGGAGTGAGAGAAGAGGAGAGTGAAAGAGAGAGAGAGCGCATGAGGGGACTCCACCTCTCCGTCTCTCGCTGGTAAAACCCTCTCGCGCGCACGCTGCCTGCGACCAACCTCTAATTCTC